TTTTTTTTTTTTTTTTTTTTTTTTTTTTTTTTTTTTTTTTTTTTTTTTTTTTTTTTATTTATTTATTTACATACCTCCTTATCCAGGAATTATACATTTTTATTTACAATATTCGACTTGAGGCTAAAACTTAAGGCTAGATTATTATAATAAGAGAGTAAGGTGATGGATATTTATAGCAGGGCGCTATAAATATATTCTGTGATTATATACATATATACATGATTTAATAAATGATAGACAAATTCTTCTGATCTGTTAAGCTATCTTTCACCTTCAATTTATGTACAATCTTGCCCCAATTAAGTGCCCACACATCAATCAGTACCATCAATCAACACAATAGGAAGGTAGTAGAGGTCGAAGTATTGACATTTTTTGTTTAACTATAAAAACTATCTAGTGAGCTAAGAATCAAACTATCCTTTATTTTTAAATCAGGCAAGTATCAGTAGCGTTATGACAATCTACGTGAGTGTGTATTAAAGGGAAAATGCTTTCCACAGAGGTCACAAGGTGATCCATCTCTCCACTCCTAATGCAACTTTTTTCCGTGATCCTATATCTACAACTGAAAAGAATTGTATATATTTCCATTGTAGGAAATTTACAAGAAATCAACTCTATGTAAAAAAAAGAAGGTGAAAAATATTCTGAACTCAGCCCCTTTCATACTTTTAAATGAAAATAAAATTTTTTGGTGCTCTTGACCCATTATCCACTTCATTAATTATGTTATTCCAGTAGAGATGAAAATGTGAACATTTTACGTAATTATTTTACTCCCAATTTTGCTAAAATCTTCTATTTGCATTCTAATTTTTTGTTTGTGTGCTCTTTAGAATAACACGGAGCCTGCTGATGTAAATATTTATCGAGGAGGTATATTTTTGGGATGCCAGTTTGGAATTCCTGCAATGTATATCTGGGCGCTAGGTATTCTAGCCGCTGGTCAAAGTAGTACCATGACGGGATGTTATGCTGGTCAATTCGCCATGGAAGTAAGTTTCATCTTCCCTCAGAAGTGCTGATTTCTATTCTTTTCTATATTTTTATTTTTAATCCACTCTGTCTGATCATTTTCAATCAATACATAACTTGTGGTCTAAATCTTGTTTTCTTTTGTTGATTCAAGGTTTTTCTCATTTACCACTTTATCTCTCCTATTTTTAGAAGTGGGGAAAGAAAAGAATGACATCCAGAAATTACACCATTCAACAGAGATTTACACGCTAACCAATGGGACAGCTAAATGATTGAAGCATTCAGACTGATGTGACTTTTGTCTATTCTTTTCTTTCCCCAGTTCTAGTGCTATATGGAGTGTGCAAAACTCTGTAATCGACCCCTAATCAGTTAGTTACACCCTACAACCTGTAGGGGTTACAGCGTATCTCAAAAGTTCAATCCTCTAACGGTTGATTGAATATGAAACTAATATTGTCTGTTCAGACAGTAGGATGCTCTAAGTATGCCAACTCATCCTTTTAAATGAGGAAGCCGAAGCCCAATCTATTTAAAAAGCAAGGAGCCTCTTATTTTTTTTTTCTTTGCCGTAATCCTGTTATTTTTTGTTTCAGGGTTTTTTGAATCTTCAGTGGAGCAGGTGGAAGCGAGTGGTTTTCACACGATTGATCGCAATCCTTCCCACATTTTTAGTCGCATATTATAGTAAGATTAACGAATTAAGTGATATGAATGACCTTCTGAATGCCGTCATGAGCATGCAGCTTCCGTTTGCTGTGATACCAACTATTGCCTTCACTAGTAATCCACATATAATGGGATCGTTCACCAACGGAGTGTAAGTTCCATGACTTCTTTCTCTATTATTCAGGAATGTCTGCAAGTGACAGTACAAATTTTTGAAATCATCAGTTGCTCTTTGTTTGAACTTTCATACTTTTCTCTTTTTTTTTTTTTTTAATTAACTTCTTATTTTTAATTTTCTGTTTACTTTAAATTTCCTCACTTTGAAGTATCATATTCAAACATTCTGATATTCCATGCTAAATTCAATCAATTTCAATCGAATTTGTTCCTTATTCTCGATTTGAGTTCATTATCTACCTTTGTCCAAGACAGCTACTCTGCTTCTCCTAGTTCTCCTAATAGTGTGATTAATCATAGTCATGTACAACTGTGCGCTTTGTGTAACATTGCTGGTAACTTCCTTCAATCTCACGAGGGACTTGCATGGAATTGCAATGTCCCAAAGAAGGCACTTAGTCATGAAGACTTGTCTACCTCTGTTTAATGTAGATTTTCTCGCTAATAAATGAAAAATATTGAAGATTCCACCGTTAAGTCTGAGCTAGGGCTGTTCTATCGGTTGTCAGTAAGCTACGGAAACAGTTCCGTTAAGAAAAAGTTACGATAAGAGCGCTCTTGCCAATAGCGATCAGAGTTTTCGGAGCTGGCGAAAATAAGATGTTGCCATTTGTACATCTATTTTACGCGCCGCCGCGCCAGGCAATCTGATAAACCGACACAGGGCAACAATGCATTAAGTGCGAGCTCTCAAAACTCCGATAAGGCCGGCTGTTGTCCATATCATTGCCACTGTCGGTACTGCCGCCAGTTTCAATAAGAGACGATGTCGATAGTGTTCCGGCAAGAATTCGTTTGAACACCCCTAGTCTGAGCACCCTAAAAAAAGGGGTGTACGCTGTTATACTATAGCCAATGCTTCTTTTTTGGATCTTTAAAGGCATTCTCTGTGAAGATTTTCATCTCTGCCAGGGACACACTCACCTTGAGGAGTGTTTAAACTCTTGCACCCTCTTATACCCAACCTGTGCCCTCTTGACCAAGGTTCATTTTAGGAACTATAACGGATGTAAGGTCTACAGAGACGGGACTTCGTTATCAACCTTGGGTGAGACACGTAGCTCCTTTAAAAGCTCCGCAAAAATTTACGATTTTCTAAGATTTTAATGGTGTTTTTTTCGGTTGTTTTTGGTGTTTTTAATATCATTAAATATGTATTTTCAAGATAGACTTGTAGACGCTTTCTTTCACCTTTTTCCCCCCATTTTGGAGATGAAAAGGAGAGTTTTCTTTTTTCCGTGCTTTCGAGTTCCATAACTTTTTTTAACTCTTACGTTGCAAAATAGAGCACTTCTTTCCGTAATGAGTGAAATAATCGTATGTTCTTGGTACTTTTGATTCGAGACGCGACAACATTGCTTTTAGCTCGGGCACAAAGCTCTTATCACCGATGGTGAAATAAGACCCGCTCCCCACCACCATCTCGCGCGGCACATCGTTGTTATCATCTCCTCTTTCCACTCTGAATGAATGCTGGATAAGTATTCCTTTTTCACTCGCATGTTTGTTTACATCTAACCTCAAAGTTGTATGGGTTAATGTTTAAACTACAGCGTAGTCATCCAGGAGTAAGCCTTAGAAGGTCTACAGAGACATCAAAAAAAAGATATTTGGCAACTTGTAAATCATCAAAAAGTCAATCTCCCATCTAATACAGTAGTCCTAGGGCAAAGCTATGCTAGTGTAGTAGCCATGGAAAAAAAAGGCAGATCATTTCAACCCAGTCCTTAAAAAGCACTTCGAATAATTCTGAGTTTGCTTATCAAAATTTCAATTAGCGACTCCTGTCCCTCGCACTTAATTTTTATAACAATATTAATGGTATCTCATTTTATGTTTCAGTGGAAGTAAAGTTGTGGCCTGTATAATATCTGCACTCATCATAGCAATTAACATATACTTTATCTCATTTGTGATGATTAAATATTTGCTAAGTCACTGGTCATTAACAGTATTCATCATTGCGTACCTGACCGTCTACATTTTAACGTGTATCTACCTTATTTTACACATGTTCATAAGCATGGGTGTTGATAATAGATTCTCAAATAGTAAAGTAAGTTTTTCACTTTTGCCCTTTCTTTTTTTTTACTTTTAAGGATTTAAAATCACAATTTTTTTGTTAGTTAAATACAGCATTTCAGTAAGAACTTAAAGTCCAGATATCTTATTCCAATAAGTGACAGTGAGCAAAAAATCGGATACCAGTTTTTATCACTAAAATTCCGAATCAAATAATCTTATCTAATTCATATTTGTCAAAGTCACAATCATGTAAAATTAGCATGGACTTAAAGCAAAAGCGTTCATTCTTATTAACCTTATGTTTTGAAATAATACAAACAAAAACTGAGCTAAGCATAAGCAGAAATAAAAATTGTAAGCTCTCTTGACACAATTCTGCAAGAAATAAGGACGAGCCTGGCAGTTGCTCTATCAGTACATTATCACGAAGATTTTCTGTCAATTTTCATTTAGAGGAGTTGTGTCACATCTTTTTTATTAATTTCCGTTGATCGTTTTTTATATTTCTGTTGCAGTTTGTTCAGAGTTTAATTGGGACGCAAATCACGCATGACTTTGTACATAATCCGGATGCAGCTTCTTCGAACAGGTATTCTTCTGTCCATTGATTATAAATAGCTTTTTTAGAGTAATGCAGGTATCAGCATGTTTTTAAGGTTTTGTTTTCTTTTTCACTCATCATTAACAGCAACAGGTCCAAAAATTTTGTCGAAAAATAAAACTGCAGTCAAAGATATGTTAGCTGTAGCTCTCATTTGTTTGCATCATGCTCGTTCCATGTGCAAAAAAAAGAAGAAAAAAAGTATACATGAAAAGAATTACATAAGCAGGAGTTTTTACCATGTTGATCAACAGAGGTTTTCTAAAGTTCTGCACCATTTAAAACATCAGAAATTGACCTCTGAGCTTTAAGGTAGGTTTTAAACACTGGCTCTGGAACCCTCTTTTAGTTGGTCTTTTTTACCAGTATTTAGCAATTTTGGATAGCTGCAAGGGTTTTTAGAGGGATAGGATTTGCTGCTGAGATTTTGAAGGCATGCACTTTGGTGAAGGGTTGGCTACAGGGCGATTTTAAAAATTGTCTTTCTTTCCTAATGAAAAACGGGTGCATGTATTTGTGGGAAAAAGGTTTGGCTCATTCTATCATTTTTTGCTTTTGTCTTTCGAACCCTGTAGAGGATGAGGAATCATTCTCATGATAAACAAATCATTCCGACGAAAATTTCAAAGCTTTCCTGTTTGGTCTTTCAAATTCCAGTTCTAATGTATGATCTAGTTACCTGTTCAATGATCCAAACAATTGAATGAGACAGAGATTATCGAAAATGTTATTTCACTTCCACAGTCTTCATTTTAAACATTTTTCTTAAAAACTTAATTTAAAGAATCAGTAACTTTCTGTACAAATGTAAATTAGTAGTTGGATGGAAAATAGGAAAGTTTGCACTTTTTAGCATGAGTCAGAGCAAAATTAAAATTTTAAAATGGAAGAAAGTAGAACATTGAAGATGATGCCGAGCGATTAAATATGAGGGAAGCGCAACACGGGGATGTATGGTAGATGGTTGGTGTCCACAAGACGGAATTGAAACCATCTTAAATATCGGTTGTATATTGAATAAATGACGTCATTAACGCCCTATGGACATGGAGGCCTCTGATTGGATAATGGAAAATGGTGACTCCGCATCAATTGAGAAAACGAGGCATCAAATATTGATAAAGCTATCATGAATGTGATCTCTCTAAATGATGAAAGATAAAGAAATCAGAATAAGTAAAGGATGTGTAGGATCTGAATTTTCGGAGAGTGAAATGTATGGAAGAAGAGGAGATAGAAAAAAAGCTTGAAATATTATTTTTGTGCGTAGAAACCATGGGAATATTCATTTAACATATATTTTAGTTTTGTAAATGAAGCTAACAAAATAGCTTATCTAAAATATGCAATTTATGAGAAATGAAATGATTATCAAGAAGAGAAAAGGGTTTTTTAATGATGTATGGAATCTGTTATAGTAACTCTTTTTCGAAGTTAATACGGACCATTGCCACATACCTGCAAGCAGCTTTTTTAGTCCTTTCTTCAATGAAGCCATATTAAGTTGCCCCAAAATTCTCATTTTCATAAAATTTTTTTCTCTCATTCTTCTCGTATGCTAACCTTTTCTTTTAAATGGTTTTTGAGAATTTAACTTCGTTTTTTATTTGAATTTTTACATCGGTGTGATAGTTTTTCCCCCGCACCTTCGCATTAAAGTTTCACACCACCCACATTTTCATTCAATGTAAACTCCTCCAAAAACGAAAACAAGAGGAGAGGAGAAAAAGTAAATGAATAAGTAATAGATACATACAGATTTTACACCTGACCAGATTTTTTTTGACACCTGAGTTAATATCAAGACATTTTTCTAGCAATAACTAAAAAGCCTGATGATTTTCTATCTTTTAGATAACTTTTATCGATGATCTCTGCCTCTATCAGAAACTTATCATGTATGATGTAGAAAAAGTAAACGCAGTAGTATGTAAGTTGGCCTTGTCCATTTTTCTTCATTTTCTCGTTTGAGTCAAAAGTATTGTTAATTTATTTATTATCAGCTATTTTACAGAAAACTAAAAAGGTCTGGACAAAGCAATCAGATTATGAAAAAAGGAACAAAGTAGAGGGATCTGTTCTCTTTTTTCTAGAAGGAGAAAAAAAAAATACAAGTAACCTCTGACTAAAAAAATAGAGTTTGGTATTAATACATTTTTCCTGCAAATTGTATGATTCTCGATTGTGTATTCTTACAAATACTCCATACCCTTTAGATTAGATATTCCCAAAATTTGATCAGGTATAGAAACATCAGCAGAGTTTTCCCCCTGTAAAATATTAAAAACAGAAAATACTACGCTCGTTTTCTACAGTGATAAATATGTTCCTGTTAAATATGCTCAATGCTGCGACAGAAAGTATCAGTTTTACCTTAAAGTAATGGAATGTTTCTTTGAAATAACAGGAATAGTGTTTTAAACAAGGAGTTTTCCTATTATTTCAACGAGGAATTCTGATACGGTTCTAGTTAACAGGAAATTTTTCTCTGTGTATGCTCAAAAGTTTGGTAACTTATTACTGTCAATAACCAATGCCATGTGACCTATGTGATGACTTGATTTCAGTGAAGAGGACTCTGTTAGATCTCAGTGAAGCCTCACTCTAGTGCACCTCAGTGTTTTAAGACGCCCTTGTTCCTTACTAATGTGGTATGTTTCTTTTTGCAGTAACCGGCATAGCTAATGTAGATTTTTCTAATATTGATCGAAACTTGTCTTTCAAACTTATTTTCTAGTATCATAGTTGTTCTGTGTTCGAGACGTAAGTACTTATCACAGTTTTACATTCAGAAGCTCAAGCTAAATGTGATGTGTTCTGGAAAAATCAACTGTAGCCATTCAAGGACAGATTCGAATTCTCCACTAATCAAGTGGTCAGATATGGGTTATTTCAACAAGAATATCTTTATGAAATCTTGACAATGCAGGAACAGTTCGAATTTATCATAAATGGAAAAGATATTTTACAGTACTTAGCTATGAAATTTTGAGAGAAAACGGTCGGAATATTTGTTTTTACTTCCTGATTGTATGACCTGTAACCTAGAAAAAGATTATTTTGATTCAAATTTTGAGTGTCTTTTTACTCCTAGAAGAAAATCATCCACATTCTTTTCCAGAAGATGTCACCAAAGTTTGCTTCAAACTCAGCCTGGTTGCACCTAGTGATAGAAGCATTGAAAAAAAAGGTTAAGCAATGGCTCTGTGGGTTAAAGTATGCTGATTGCGATCCTCTTTTTAAATTGTTTGCTCCTTAAAATCTCTTCATAAATTCCTATTTAGTAGTTTGCTAGAATGTGCAATAGTTAGGTTAAAATATTTCATTCCTCACATTACCAAGTCGTTGCAATATGTTTTTAGAGATTATCTTTGAATTTTTAAGGCTTATGATTCTTACTGAGAGGGCCTTATCAGTCGGTATGATTTCTTTCTAATTTCCTTTGCTTGCTGTAGTTTAAAAGGCCTCGATTCTTCATCAATTCATTGAATTTTTTGTTTTTGCTGACTCTCAAAATTTTGCAACCTTTTTAAGCTTAGCATCGTTATTTTCAGTGCATAGTGTTTCTTTTCTCGCACCATCATTTTGTTTGTTTTTGCGTGACCTGCTTTTACCAATGTACAAACGTTCAATGTACCAAATGTACACAAAAAATTGCATAAAGCAACACTATATTAATCCCATCGGCATTGCTTTTTATTATTTATTTTATTATATTGTTTCTTTTTTTAGTGTATTTTTATTTTGCTTTTGCATTAGGTCAACTTTGTTGTAGAAGTTTCATTTGCTAGCCACTTTAACTCGCTTCTCTCCCATTGAGTCAGATTTACTTTCTCTTACAGTTATCATGTTTGACAGCATTTAAATTAAATCGTGGCTAAGCCATTCGTGGTTAAATCCAGTCGTTTCATTTGCTTTTGGGAGGGTTTCATGAAAAATGGGATCAAGCAACATTTCTGGAAAATTAGGTTTAAGATATCATAGTAGCAAGGACCGTTAAGAAAGTAAAACCTGAAAAAAAGCTCGTAACTTTAAAAAAAGAAAAAAACAACTCTTTAAAAACTGTTAAATTGTTTGTTTTAGGTAACCTTTTTGGGGTATTTCTTTAATTTAAATTTTAGTGGGAAAATTCAAGTATAAAAGTATTGATTATCTCTAAAAATATCGAATGAATTTTTTCAAGCCCCAACATATTTGGGGGAGAGGGAAATGTAAAAGACTCTTATAAAGAAGATCCCTTTCATCCGTCGTAACTTTCAAATTTTCACAGCATCATTTTTTATGACCTCATTTTTCTCTTTCTATGAGGTGTGTAACCTAAGATCAATTATATTTGAGGCATTTGAGCCACAATTTTTTCAAGAAAAACTACCATTATGTTGTTAAGGGTCTTCGCCCAAAAGTTACATGAATTTTGAAGTATCTTGTAGTATTTGAGTAAAGTAGGTATTTTGGCATCCCATATTCACATTCCTTACAATAAACCAAGGAGGAATGATGTACTGGATAAACTTTTTAAGACCCTCATTTTAGGGTTGTACTTGCTCGGATCTGTCAACATAGTAAGTGGTATCGTGAATCCTCTGTTAAGAAAGATTACTTCGCGGATGTGGAGAAATAATTCAATCGTCCACCATCAAGGAAGGAGACAAATGAAAGAATTTGGTAAAACTGAATTGATTGAATCATCCTGGTCATCAAATTAATATGCCCTTCAGCTGATCGTTATCAGAACTCGATGATCAAACTTTCAGTCTTAATACTTCATTTAAGAAGAATTGCTCATAAATCTTCATATAATCCTTGTTGGAAGCGTTCTGGTGATGAAACTACGAAATCGAACGTCTGTGCTTATGATTATGTAATGGTGCATATTTCATGTAACATTTTATTCTGTCGAAGGATGACTGACCTTAATCGACCTAATGATTGAACAAAATTTTGTATGAATTTTCTTCAGAGGAAATTATTTTTTCCCTCCTCTTTCTAAGAATACTCCCGGAAATTTCTATTTACAAATGTCCACGAAAATAATAAAGAACAATTGGCAATTTTGAAACACAATACATCGTTTTCCTGACATATGAGGGTAACTACTTTCTGCAATGAACCCTCTCGTCTATACCATTCAATGCTTCTCCGGGCTCATCTCAATGTGTAGTTATGCTCTTTTGTCAGCCAAGAATTGAGAATATGTTTTCATTGTTTTACCATCGATTTGGGGCCGACCATAATAGATATCAGGTATTTAAGAAGAAGAGGCTCTAGGCCTGCTTGACAAACCCCTTCTGAAGAAGATGAGAGGATGAGAGGGGGAAAGGGAACTTGAAACGAGAGCAAGAGATGAGAAGAAAAAAGAAGGAAAGTGCTTGACGATATTCATGAATGGCCTCTGTGTGATTCCAATTTGATTTAATTTTAATTTTCGTGATTAAGCTGCACACAGATCTATTCTATGGCTTTCAATAGCTTTATTTTTTCTTGCTGTTTTTGTCATTTTTGCCGTATCCAACTCCAAATTATTTTTCTCTTTTTCATTTTGTTTTAACCAGGAACAGAAACATGGGAACCATGTCCTCTCCAACTCATCAACTCTCCGACTATTCAAAGTAAACTTCATAATGATGGAATGTTTGGAATTTTTATTCGTACTACCACTCCGGACCACTGATCATCCCAGCAGCGAAATTTCACTAGTATGATGTATGTACAAATCAATACCTATGACATTGTAAATATTTAGGCACTTTTAAAAAATCATCGATTTTGTAAACGAATAATTGATTTCTTCTGCAAGGACCCATGTTTATTCTGTAAAGTGTTATATGTATGAAGTATGTTTTTTGTTAAAAATTCTCAATACATAAGGAACAAAGTTCTATCCTCAGAGATACCATGTTAGATTTTAGACTTAAATTTTCAAAAGACAATGCAGTGGTAAGGAACTCTCTCAGAAATTTATAATTTAGTTCATTTCTTGAGTTTTTTAAGTCAGAATAACCAAAATATGCAGAAAAAGAAGACATAATGATTAGGTAATAATTAGAGTAAGAGAATATGAGTATATCCATCATTGAGAAATTAAACTTTTATTTTTACTCAGTCCCATTCCTCCTTCTTTGCCTTTTAATTAACTTCAACGCCTCTATGGATTGGAACCGACTCATATTCAGCAATCATTTTTGAGCTTTTCTTTACAACATTATTTAAGAATAAAAGGGAAATAATAAATTGATCAATTTTTTTGCTGGCTTAACAATTCATAGATTAAAAATATTTAGATTTGATGGCATTTTGCTGGAAACGTGAAAGAAATTTAAAAATCTTTTTTTACTGTCAAGCATGTAATCGAATGTAATCCTTAAATCATAAATTTATTTGATTATCCTTTCTCTCTGAAGGTCCCCATAAACCTTTGCTCTCAAACCAAGTGGGCTTCCTGAAAGGGAGCTGTTTGAGGATGAACTATAATACGAGCCTCCAGATTTTTGAGATAACATTTGTTCAAACTGATATAACTATCCATTCTTCAGAAGTAGCGTCTTCTTTTCTTGGAATCAGTAATTTTCTTAGACCTACTTAATTTCTTAAATTGACTATTCATCTTTTTATTTTTGAGTTTGATTGCTCTAATTTACTTTAGGATGACTGCATTGTTTGAGTTGAGGTAATGACTCATGATCTTTCTGGAGATTTAATTTTTACACTTTGTTTTTCTTTCTCTCCTTTTGCTTTCTTCGAGAATCATCACACTCCATACCACTTTTATTGGCAAGAAAGCGAAAATCATTCAGTTTCCGTCCAGCTTTTCACTTATTGCAGCTGTGCATTGTCGTGTTAGCGTTGCAACTATGAAATGGAAGTTAAAAGCATAGCCTGTTTTCTCTTGTTTTCTTTTTTCTAATTTAAGTAAAGCTATGAGTGAGGAATTTGTCAAAGACTTATGTATATTCATTCTAAAGCATGCACACTGAAGTCCACGCCACAAGAAGTGGCAGGTGGGGGGCATAGTCAATTCAGTAGCTCGGTGTTAGGTCTAAAGGTTAATTGGCTTCAGCGAGCGGGGGTCCTTCAAACAAACCAAAGTACCTGTTTTTCAGTTCTTGAAAATACTCTGAGGCAGTCCCTTATTCCGCCTCTCATCTATCGCTTTTTGGGGGGTGAACTATAGCCAGTGCTTCCATTTCTCTTTCTTTTATTGTTTATTTTCATTTTATTTTTGTTTATTTTTCCAAGGCATAAACACTTTGTTGTGTTTTTGTTTTTTCTTTTGAATTATGAATGTTTGCCCTGACAATTTTACCCAAACTAAAGTTTGATTAAAATAAACTTGTCTGCAATTGTGATAAAAAATAATTTGAGACTCCTGCATTAAGAGGCTATATTAATGTTAGTATACATTTATTTTTTTCTATCTCTTGTTGTTTCCATTGTTGCAAATTAGTTTTTAATATGTTTAAAATTGAAAGGCGTAGGTGTTTTATACCTCACAGCAGATGTATTTTTTAAGAAATGTTAAACTGAAATTTCTCAAAATAAAGCTGTAAATAACTTGTTTACTTATTCTGGCCTTCATTTTCTGCCTCCACCTTTCAATTTTCTCAAAGATCATTAGGCACCCACCATCCTGCCATGCGGATGAGGAGTAAAGAGACAGACAACCTTGCAGGCGTACTTATTTTGAAGAATTCTGCCTCATTCGTTTTTGTTGTCTGCACCTTAGCATAGAGAGCTGAGTCATTTTTATGGAAAATATTAATTCATCAATATTGTTTTTTAAGCAGTGATTAGAATTAACCCTTTGAGGCCTACGCACGAAATATCTCCTGTTGCAACTTCCGCCCAGAGATTCCACTCCACCTATTTTTCTAATCGATGTATCAAGTCATACAGCGTATGCATTTTGTTAAAAAGGATATAACATACAACCTCAGACTACTGCCCATAGAGTGCGGTGAAAGCGGGGGGATGTTAACCCAGGGCCCAAAGGGGTGCAACATTTTTTCACCAAGATTGTTTTGCTTAAGTCAAGTTACCCTAAATACTCTTTGTAATCTTGACTCCAAAGAATACACCAAAATATTTTGAAAACGGGCTGAGAAATTTGGTCCTTAGATTACGATCAAATAAAGTAAAAAGGAAGTAATTATTGATGTAGTGTCTTTTATTACAGTTAAGTTACTATACAATAAAACTTCAATGTTATTGAACACGAAGAGACTAGATTATTATCGCAGGTTGGTAAAAAAAAAAACGCTCATAATTTAGAGCTGTTACAATTAAAAAAAGAGATCTACTGTTTCAACTGTGGTAAAAGATATGAAAGTTAGGTAGACTTTAAAATTGACTCTGCAAAAAAAAAAAAAAAAAAAAAAAATTATCCATGAATAGAGTGTGTTTTGGAATGTGAAAGTTTCATTCATTTACATACAAATGTTTAACGAAAATAACTGATAAAACAAAACAAAATTGCAAGAGAGTGAATATTTTTGGATTAAAAAAAGAGTGCTGGTTTGATTACTGCTCTTCCTACACTAAAGGGGTTTTGCCAGGATTAGGGATTCATTATTCCATTACTACGGTTGGTGATCAAAAGGTGTTTAGTTTTATATCTTAGAGAATCTTCACTGCAATTAGATAAACATCAAAGTATTGAAATAAATTTCCGTGTGTATCAAGATTCAAACCTTGTTCTATAAACTTCATGCAACATTTGAGGGGAAAGCGTAAATTTGCGGGCACCAACATTCTGACAATATTCCACAAATTAGGTTTAAAAAAATACAAGTTTCACAGGTAATGGATGAATCAATTGGAGATTGATAAAACTTGCGATCTATCGACAAATTATTAACAATAATTACTGATACTCCACCAAAAAAGGGACCTAAAGACACAGAGACAATTTTTCGGGATAAAGATTTTTGTCTGGTCAGGTCAAAAAGTATCTGTGTTTGAGTTTTTTTCAGGGAACACTCTTAGAATTTTTCAAGACAATAACATCCAAACTTAAATAATATTCCATTCATGCCCCAATCTCTCTTGTGTATGCTAAGAGACACTAAGAGCCTCTTTGGCACAATTTTTTTTATTAATTTTTCCAGCACGATCACTTTGTCTATTTTTTCATACTAAATACATTTTTAGATAAGTTGAGGTGGTTTTTGAAAAAAAAATTAGACAGCTAAAGTTTTAATTAGTTAGATCAAACCATAGAATGGATTTTTTGGCTTCTTATTTCCTGTTATTGTGCGCTATGAAAAATTGAAAAGACTAATTAATTGATCTAAAAGGCTGTCCATAACTTACGTAGTAAGATATTTCTGATTATTTGACACCCATGACCCACCCCTTGTGATGCAATCGTAACATTGGTTCTGACACCTCCAAAATAATTACGTAACAATGATTTCAACACCCCCCCCCCCCCCGCCCCTTTCACACAAAAATTTCCAGAGAAATTTCCTTTCTGAAAACTGATGGGAGAGGCGAGAGGCCACAGCTTTTTTCAATTAAAAGGCTCTGCGTTTCAAGAGACAAGAAAGAATAAGACAAAAAATGAAACGTTTCTCACTTTAAAAGAAAAAAAGTTGAAATCCAAAAAGTATAAACTATAATGTAACGCTGAGCTTGACACTCCCACCCCTTGTCACGCTCGGTCACAAAATAATAAACACCCACCCACCCTTTAGAGCATTACATAATTTATAGACAGCCCATGAATGTCCTCATTGGGACTCCTGAACTACTTTTAACTAGGTCTGTTATCAATGACGATTTTATCATCTGTTTCCAAGTCAAAAGTTTTTACCTCATGTAAGTGATCGGCTAACAAGTCAGTTGTCTGAGAAAAGCAAAGCAAAATCCATCCTAAAATGGCACAAACACATCTTACAGCATTCAGAATTTGCCAAGTTGATACAAGTGATGAGATGCTCTGGAAACAAAGAAATTTGAAATTACAGAGGAAGCTATTTTTTTTTGTTTTTTGTTGCAAGAGGTGCACTCATGATTCCCAAAATCTGGATCCAATGATCAATTGAAACCAAACAGCAAAACTCCTAACTTTTCAACGTCTCCTTTTCTCCCTAAATATTAATCTTGTACATCGGGTTTTCTTACATTTGAGGCCTGCAAAACACGCACAATGACTACTAGGTAGAATTTAATGTCAGTTCAACACATTTTCGAATTTCAAATTAAAAGAAGAACAATTCTGCTAAAATTTGAAGTGTCTGATTAAAATATACGATTACACCTCAAAAATGGGGCTCTCTGCCTCGGCTCAATTTAATCAGATATTAATTTTTCTATTTATATCATCCTTTTTCGCTTTAATTGTTTAATTTATTATCTACTTTAATTACTAACTTTTTTGCAACCAGAAGAGAGATGGTGGCTGAGAGAGATCAATACCACCCCTTCATAAAAATCAGCTGTTAATATGTACTTTGGGAAAAAAAATATCAAAACTCAGTTTTTGTGAATGGAAATTTCTTTCCCTTTGCATCATTTTTTTCTCTCTTATTTATACCTTGAAAATTTTGGTGATCTTATAAAGAAACATTATATGGAAATTTCAAATTCTTGGGGAGGAATTTTTTATCGTTGCAGGAATAGAATTTTATCAACATAAAAGCTCAGAACTTTCCATACTCCAATTCTGAAGAAGTTCTACAATTATTTTACATGTTTAAAAATGATGGATCAACTTATGAATTAGACTACAGAAATTCTTTGCGAGTCTAATCAACAATGTTTTCCCTCCAAGCTTATCAGATTGTTGCTGGTGGATTTGAACCTTATTTCTTTCCAATTTTTAGAAAAAACTTCTGTAAATAAGCAAATTCTAATGGAAGTAAAATTTTGTGAGTACACTTACCTGGTTTTTATACCAGTCTGTAACAACTTCTGGCGATGAGGTCCCTTGAAAATTGACAATTGTAGGATCCTTTGACGGATAGTGTGATATCATGTGATCATATCGAAAACAAACAGCATTGATGACAAGGCCACAGAAATAAATGAGTCCAATGACCCAACTGCGGCGGTAAGAAATCCAGTCACGGGGATCACACTTGAAAATGTGAAAAAGATCAACTCTGAAATGTTGAATTAAACCTGAATTAATTAGGTAGTATTAACATGACAAGTAATGGTTACATTCTATGATAAATAAGTTTCTACATATTGTATGTTCATTTTGGAGTTAAAAAAAAACAAAAACAAACAACAAATTTTTAGAGTCTATGGCATCTTTTTGAAGATTACACTTGAGGGTATCTATTGTACAATGCATATAATTTGCACTTAATGTGCATGATGCTAAAAGATAATTAATTTTACAGGGCATGAAAAAACAAACAGGGAATTTTTCAACAAAAGAGATAAGATTTACCTGTCCAGTATAGACATGAAACAAATTGAGATGAAAAATGCGAAGCAAGAAGGTCCAACCAAAGCCAACTGCTGATACACTCGAAACACAGTTTCAGATGTAGTTTGATCAAAATTGTGCCCAGAGATCAAATAATATGCCTGCAAAATATGTAAGAAAAAATGAAAAAAAGTGACAGATTTTGATTCATTTTGAAATCAAAAGAGTGGGTAAGAGTAAATATCGACGGTGCAACTGCAAAAATGGAAAATTCGACAGGGAGTCTGCAAGGCTGTAAATAGAGATACGCGATTTTGCACTTAAGCCATTGATATATTTACGGAAAAAATAATTTTCGGTAATAGATGCATAAGAGCTTATTCTCTTTAAACAATACAAAATCTTGGTTGGATTTTGAGATGACCTAGAACCTTCTGATAGCATCAAATCATTACTTATGGATTTCAGGATACACTTGCACCTGTTCAGAATGAGCATCGCAATTGGTTATGTAATACAGAATTCAATGTTAAATTTCAGTGGTGCTGAACTGATGAGAGAGATGAAGATGTAAAATATAAAAAAAGTTCTTACCAAGACTAGTTGCATGACTGCTACTCCAGCTAAGAAACCATGACAAGCAATAAAAAAAGGGCTTATGACTCTCCGCTGGAATAAAAGGGCCACATCTAAAGGAGAGCGAAAGCCCCTGTAACAAAGAAAACAAATTTAAAAGGACTAGCTTAATACCTACACTTTTCTAAGGGTGAATGGATAGATTACATGACAATTCAAAAATGAGCAAAAAAATCAAGCTCATAAACAATTATGCATCTTCCTAAAACCGCAAGCAAAATGTTTTATTTTTTTTCCTTTTTTTAGGAAACTGATCTTATAAAGTGGCTATAGCATCAAAGGCAGAGACAAAAGTTAAAATGCTCTTAATTTGACGCTCATGTGGTGCTTCATGATGCTGTTTAGTGCTTTTTGATTTTGACCCTTATGGATCATTACATATCATTTATGAGACTCTATGACAGATTTCATTTTTAATGAGATGGCACGGCACAGTTTACTCAGAAATGTGATGGTCCAAACTGATCGTATAAGAAAAATAAAATTTATGATAAATTAAAATAAATAATTTTAGAAAAATAAAAGTATTTTAAGATTTACAATGAAATTTCAGTAGGTAAATGAAGGAGAAATTTGCCATGATTTTAATTAAACCATGAACTTCTTCTTCAGAAGAAGCAGTAGAAGAGGAAGAAGATAAATAAACTTAGGTCTAAAATTATTTCAAATTGAAAATTGCAGGCATGCATTGAAGAAATTTTAAAAAAGACATTACACTGGAACTGCTGAGGTGATCCAATTTCAAGTTAACAGAATTAATTTTGTAGCTCTTAACTGATAAGGCGGGAGAAAATAAATGAGGCAGATTCAAGACAGTCGACTGCCTCCTTTCCTGAAATAGTGGAATACTTAATGATCAATCTAGCATTTCTCTTTGTTAATGTCCTGAATTGAACATCAATGAGTTGGAACTTATAAATGAGGAGAACTTCCATAAAAAGGAACCAGGTTGTACATACTACTTACAGCTTATCAGTATTCAGCCACAAATTAGAGTCGCTTTTGTTGATATTTTGATCTATATTCGGATTAGTAGTTTTGATGAATTTGTTCCTTTGCTGGATGTAATAACTGTCAATCAGCTGCGTTTCAGATTTTTTCAACTCAGGAGACACCGCTGTGGGAGAGACAAAAAATACTCTAAGCTACACTGTCATCCAAAGCAAGAGTGATGTAACTCGATATTATCCAGATGAAATAAAGTATTCTTAAACAAGCAAAAATTAGGAGGGCTCTGAATGGAATCAGTTTCACCACATTGATCTTTGCTAGTTTCCTCTCATGTTGTGAAAGATATTTACAAGAAAAAATAAGACAATATTCTGCTTAATGTTGAAGTCACCAGTGGAATATACACAAAAAAGTTACTCGCGAGCATTCTGGCTGGAAACAAAGGAAAACAAAGGCCAGAAGGCTTGTGAGTAATTTTTTTGTGAATATTATGATTACTTAGACTAACTTTATCTGTTGCATTTAGGTTTATTCTGGTTTGGTTTAGGCAATCCATTTACTACGAGAACATTGTACAAAGATTAAAGTAAAAGGGTGATTTTGATTCTTTTTATCTTTTTCTTTTTTGTGGAGCATTTTATTTGAATTTTTTTTTTTTTTTTTAAAAAAAATCCCGAGTGGAATTGTGGCTTTTATGTTTCCGATAGCAATGGATGTGATATAAAAATCAGTTGAAGAAACTTGTTGAGAAAATTTTCTAGCTTTAACAAAAAGACCGTATTTGGTGTTTCCTCTTCTTTGCTTATACTAGTTACTGAGGGATTAATTTTGAAGATTCATCAGTTGCTGGTACTTACAAGTGCTTTTGATTGCTTCTTCATCAAGTTTTTCAACAATATCTCCTTTAATTTCGTTTAACACTTTTGAAAGTTCGGATTTCTTCTCAATAATTAGATCTAGAGAACAAACAGAGAAATGAGACATGAATTACATATACTTTCAATAAGGAAGAGTCATTCTCCTTTCTTCTCATATGAGTACAAAAAATTATTAGCCCCTTCAACTAATAAAAAACTGTCATGGGCGAGTTCATTTACACAAATAGATGGCCAATCTTCCAAAACCACAAGTTTTCGTTTATGCCATAGCAGACTCCCTGTCATACTTTATTTTTCAATGGGAGAGCTACTCAGCATAAATTACTAAAAACTTCCATTATTTATTTTCTCCAAGCGAAGCAAATTCTGAAAAAAATCAAAGAAATAATGTAGGTGTGTTCTCCTTTGAAAAAGTAAGATAGGAGTGGAGATTTTTAAATACCACAAACAAAATACGTGGTTTAGGAGTTTCACCATCAATATATGAGTTCTTATTGCTTCAGCACTTTTGCTGCTTTTGAATTGTTTTGCAGCAATCTTCACCGTTCCAAAATTCAATGTTGTAGCTGGAAACACGAAGTGGCAGGTAGGTATAGCAGTCGAAAATGTATACAGATCAAAGGATTGAGAAGGCTCTTCTTTAAGGATGAAAATGTCTGGCAACTATGCTACAGCAGCCATATTACGGCTAATAGCACCGTTGATTTACAGCCTGCAATATACTGCCGCAAGGATACTATGAGGGGATTGACCAATCAAGGGCCTTACAGCTCCATTACCATGAGGTACTTACCATTTTTAAATGGGATGAAAAGGAGTAAGTTAGATCTGTTACCTATTCTTACCTTTATCAGGACACATCTAATTCCTGATTTTTTCCGCCCGATTTTCTGAAAATTTTGGAAAAGCTCAAAAATCATAAAATAAGTTTTTTAACCTTCTGAAACATTCCTAGTGATCAGAAAGACAAAATCAGGATTGGAATTAAAATAAGCACTGGGTTGATTAAAAAATGGCTGAACTGTCAATTAAATGGTACCCTCCAAATCCAGTAATGATTTTTGACTGAGCAAGTGTTTTGAGCCATTCTACTCAAGACACCGTCTGAATTCTTAAAAATTCTAAACTGTTCAGCATGCACCTGAGAAATCAAATATTCAGATGAGATCAATAAGCCAGCACCTACTTAACTAGGAAAAAAAGTAAATAAAATAAAAAAACCTCAGAGAAGAAACTACCTTTCATTTCATTCTGTACATTTTGTCTTCCCCTCCGGATATTCTCTGTGCGGGCTGATGTTGGAGCTTTGTCATCATCATTTCCAGACTTTCCACTTGAAGATTTGGCCGACATCTTGGTGGTTTACGCATTTAATAAAAGCTGACTCTGTAAAGATTAAAAGGATTTCCAAACTTTAATCAATAATGAAAAATCAGGGGGTGGTTCAACATTTAAAGCTTGTAATGGATATGTTGAAACTTGTTTACCTCCGATTATTATACGACGTACATTTTTTTAGGTATCTGTGTAAGGCAACGACAGGATCACCCTGGTTCAACCTTTGATCAATATTTAAAGACAGCAGCAGAGTTGCTAGTCAGCTAGTCAGAGAACAGAAGATGGTAACTTAGCTGACATGAGCTCTACTACAGCAATAAAATGGTGAAATTATTTTACCACATCTAAGTTGAGAAGGTTGAAGATTTCTGTCACATTTTGCTTTGGAGCGGACAAATCACCTTCATTCGTGCATAAAATTTTCTGCATTGCTCTGATACCTGTCTTGAAAGTTTATAGGTACCTAAGTACATATGACTCAAATTGATAAGTCAGTTAAGTCCAGATTATTTGGTAGGTATTTTGTGAAGGAAAGAGGTAATAAAATGCTTACCTACATTTGTCACTTTGCAGCATTTTAAGAGTAGAATGAGATGGGTAGAAAAGATTTTGATGAAACACGCAGACAAGAAATTGCGGGACGATCGGTAAAATCATTTTCACTTTTTTGGTTAGTTTGTTTTTGTTTACATTTGAAGTCGTACTCCATCGTTGCCGTGTCTCTTTCGGTTGCTAGGGTGACAAAGGTAAACAACAAGTAGTTAGGTGAAACTCGGCAACATTACTCAAACGCAGCTACGTAATGGCGCGCATTTTAAATATGTCAGAAAAATAATGATCGCCGTCTAGATAAATCTGTACCTAACGGTAAGATTTCCTAACGATACCAATTTCGTAAGATACTGTGCAACACCTCTGTCGCGAAATAGTTGCTTGAAGCGCCGTAGCACTCCGCGGCGCGGCGGACAACCAGCGTGTCACGCGCGTAGGCGCCTACAAACCTAACTGGGATACTTCACGCATTGCGCAATGCGTGAAGTATCCCGTTAGGTTTGTAGGCGCCAGTACGCGTTCCGCGCTGCAAACACGCCGCTCCGCTCTGTGTTGGACTCTAATATTTAGACTCGCGGAGTCAGCGTTTTTCAACTCATGGAATGGAAATGTTTGCACGCTGTGCATGGATTATTCTCATTTAAATTGATGAAAAAAAAATATGTATTAAAGGAAAATGTAATGTGTATTTTGTTCATTCAATGTAGTTCCCACTCAAATTTAATGATTTCCAAAGCACTTTAATTTTTTCTTTTATATTCTGTGCTTTTACTGTGCTGCAGCGTGGTGTAAGCGCAACCAAACGCTCAAAATTGGATGCATTTGACTCTAAAATATCGATGTACAAAAGAGGTTAAAACCAAAGATTGCGTACTTTTTGGTTTTCTTCCCTCTTTTATTCATTAATGTTTACATTTCTTTCAACATAACTGCGGCTCATTGAGATTATTATCCATGCCATTGCTTGGAAAAGGCTTTACAAATAATTGCTACGTTTTAAAAATGTAAATATTTTTAAAAGGAAGTAATATTTTCATTTAAAAAAAGGGAAATATAAGGTATACTTCATATCGAAAATTTTAAGGATGGAAATAAAACTAAATATTCATCGATGGCAATTTGAAAAGATGAATTGAGAGAAGAAAGTAACATTTAATTTAAAAATTGAATTACCATAACAACACCTCCTTCACTCTCAATTTTCTTATTTTGATATTATCAATATATTTTTATGTACCAACTAAAATATGACGTTTGGACCAAGTCACTGTTAATTATTTCATGCTTGGACGTAAATTACTAGACATAACAGTGCGCAGACAAAAAATCGTTGATGGAATTTCCTGAAACCTTTAGAGGGTGCTTTTTCATCATTTTTTAACAAGCTCTTTTGGGTAATTGGTGTTGAGGTCAAATGGAAATTTTCTTGAAAATGTCAGCTTTGAAAGATGAGCACTGCAGAGATGAACCTGTCAAATGCGTTTTTGAAGAAATGATCGATCCCTATCATCGCTTCATCTCCACACATCTATTTATGTGCAAATGAATAATGATGGCACGCTCCGGCAACAAGGTTCTATGACAAAATCATGTTTGCCTCCAGAGTCTCCAAAATGTATACATCTTAGCGATTAGCCGAATGTCACTCGCGTAGCGAGTGATCGGGGGTCCAGGAGGCGCAGCCCCTTGGCTGGCCGTTCTGGACGCGCAAAGCGCGTCCAGAACGGCTAGTAATTAGTAAACATTAAAATTTGCAGTTTTTGTCAAAAATTGCATGTCCGACCTCTGCTATTGACTAGTTCCAATGTGCGTCACAAACCGAGATACCTGCTCTGGTAGTTTCACCGTCGAAATGTATAAGCCAAACGGGAGCAAACACATAGTGGAAATAGAGCAAGGGAAATGACGCGCGTTGATGACGGGGCAGAGATACAACTATTCGCACTTGATAGATGCCCGTGTTGCATCTGCCAAATTGAAGGCGCGATGGCGCGAGGCGTGAATTCGCAATGCTCTGCCCTATGCTGCCAATGAGGTATCGCTTGAATTCGAGAAAAATTATTTTTAAAAAACGAGGCCTGGTTACGTATTACCTACCTTGGGCTGTGTTTGCACTCGATTTTTTCTTTTTTTTGCAATTTGTGTCTAATTCTTTTTTAGGATGTGTTCGGAAACTTTTGTCAAAGGCTTGTATATACAGGCCCCATGCAACCCGCGGGCACGTTTTTTTAACGAGCCTCGGGTCAATTTGTCCTACGATTTGCGGCTCCGTTTCGGAAAATTCCATTCCATTCGGTGAATATTTTTCCGGAAAACGGGAAAATATTCACCTTCATCCATCCTTTTCCGTGATTTTTCTTTTCAGCACGGCGAATTCTGAAAAAAGTCAAAGGACTGATGTTAAGTTATTCTCATTTTAAAAAAATGAAATAAGAGCGGAAAGTTTTGAACTTAGTGAACTATTTACGTGGTTTGGGAGTTTCACCGTCGTTATCCTCGTTCATTCGCAAAGTTCATCAAAAGATTCAAAAGTAGTTTTAAGTAATTTTTTTAACTTTAAACACAATCCTCGATAACGCAAAGATTTTTCTCGACTCATTCAAAAATGATCGCTTTATTAAATTTTTTTCACAGCATCAAGGCTTGAAAATTTTTAGGAATTAGATTCCAGACTGTTGCTTACAGTGCTACTCGTGAAGCATTCTGCCATTCTAAGGAAAAACGCCGCATGAACCTTTAGAAGTTGCCAAGTTTCCTCCGATAAATACCGAATTTACTGGGNTTGAACTCAGTGAACTATTTACGTGGTTTGGGAGTTTCACCGTCGTTATCCTCGTTCATTCGCAAAGTTCATCAAAAGATTCAAAAGTAGTTTTAAGTAATTTTTTTAACTTTAAACACAATCCTCGATAACGCAAAGATTTTTCTCGACTCATTCAAAAATGATCGCTTTATTAAATTTTTTTCACAGCATCAAGGCTTGAAAATTTTTAGGAATTAGATTCCAGACTGTTACTTACAGTGCTACTCGTGAAGCATTCTGCCATTCTAAGGAAAAACGCCGCATGAACCTTTAGAATTATTTTCCAAAATTTTCAGACAATTTTGTACGCAATTCAATCTAAAACATCCAAAAATTTCAAGAGAAAATATGTATAAATGTCCTCAAAAATACATGTTTTATCGAGGGAAATTTGGCAACTCTCGAATGTTCATACGGTGTTCTTCCTTAGCACGGCAGTATTGTTATCAATTATAGGCTTCTCTTCCATATTGAGGCATAAGGTCATTCCCCAGACGAAGGAACAAAACTCGATTGCAAGATCACATATTTAACTCAAACGATTCATTTCTTTAAAATAGTATGAGTGTGTAATTTGGGTTCAAAATGTCTCTTATTATTTCGTATAATCGAGCGGAAAATCAGTGAAAATTTCAGTCAGAAACGCTCAACAGTTTCCCATTAAAAATACCTACGATTTACGGGTAAAAAATTTGCAACGTTAATATTTATTACGTTCCTTATAATTCTTACTAGGTACTTAAGACGGTTATAAAACTAAAGAAGATTCAAACGGAATTATTTGCAATCAAAAAGCACCGGTCAGGTTTTCTTCAGAAAAGTACCATTCAGTGGCGTGGCGTGCTTTGCGATATATGGATTTTTATGCCATTTAAACCTATGTAAAAGGATCGCAGCGAACACCTTAATAATCGATTCTTTACCATAGGTTTAAACGGCATAACAATCGATATATCGCAATTCACGCCACGCCACTGGTACCATGTGACAAGGAGGTGAAAAACGTCGCAAACGGGGGTACATGGTTCGGTATAATTTCACCACTTGAGGGGGGGGGTCACTCCCACATTTTTTTAAAGGATCAGCGTTTCCCAAGCATTCATGCAGCGAACGCTACAGCTAACGATGTCCTAAGATCTAAACGATATCTCAAATTACATCTAATATACTTCAATAATTAAAATTAATGTAAATTTAATTTAAATTAAATTAAAATAAATCATTAATGCTTGAATGGTGCGAGAGCATGAGCGCATGTATTTGGCGCGGCGAAAAATCCCGAGCAGGGATTCGAAGGTACGCGACGGCTCCGCACGCAACTGCGTTGGAATGTCATTGCGCAGATATCAAGGGGGTGGAGAGAACACACCCCCGCGAATCATGATCCGGCTCCAGCTCCGCCCCTTTCATCCCTTATCGCGTTATCTTATCACCTCCCGATCATTTAGTGCAATGACGGATCCTCGCCCGAAAATAGCCGCCGACTCGCGATTTTCAGTCGACTCTTTGAAATTTATACCTTTCCCTCACCTCGTGACATTCGAAAGTAGCCCGCCAATTTTTTCCAATTTAACGTTTTTATTCATTTTTTCTTCCTCTCTTTTCAATAATCTCTCTTTTAATTTTTAATTCACTTCGGTTGAGATTTTAGGTGATGTGTCGCATTTGGTTTCTTATTTGAATATTTTTTTCTATTACCCTCTTTAGTGGCTCATTTCTTTTATTTTTGCAAATTTTTAATATTGGGGTCTGCCTTTCCTTTACCAGTGATACGTTGAGTGGAGATAAAATCGGTATACCTGAGTCTCCATGAATATCCGCGACTGACCGGGAAGATCTTTTGTCTCTCTTCGAGAAATTAAAAGAAAAATAAGTAAAGTTAGTTGCGTAGTCGGGAAGTCAATGAGGAAATAAGAATTTTTACGTAACGCTAAATTACGTAACGCTAAATTTGAGGGTTTTTGACACCTTATACTCTTATACAGGAATCTCGAAATTTTAGCACCTCTGTTCGATTACTTATTTAATGTATTATTTGATGCTTCTAAGATCAAATTATTCTAAGATATAGTAATTCACCGTTATGCAGGGGAATTAGACTCATTTCAGAGAAATGACCGATCCAAAAGAAAATATTGTTAACTTGTATTACTATTACGTATCTTGAATTTTCACAATAATGAATTTCATCACAATGGACACGTTAAAAAATGATATCTGCATTTCAGCTAAATGTTGTCCTTAAACAGGAGGCTCGTGGGGAATAGTAAATAGTATTTTTCTGCTAAACGCTGACAATACCGACGAGTTTTTCTCACCGTAATTTTGAAGCGGTCGTAAAAAAAAAAAAATTCTGCGATGCCACTTTTTCCACCTGTATCACGATTATTATAGTTTTACTTGAAAAGTACATATATATACCTTAGAAAATTGTCTTTAAAAAACGTTGGGTTATCCGTTACTTTGTACCAAAAATTGGCGCACTTTTTTTCTTTCTTGGTTTTTAATTTTTTAATTTAAATTTTTAACCCTCTTTCTTTTTCTCTCTCCTTTTGACTTTTATAATTATTCTATTTTATAAGCTCATTTAATTTCAACCCATAATAAAACGTGTGGTCATTTAATCTGATTAATAGAGATTTTTATTCATCAGAAAAAGATAGGGAAAACTTATGTCACCTCAGGCATAATCTTATTTGCACCAAGACAAGCTACGACAATGAAAAGCTCGTGGGCGTAGAAAACAATCTCATTTCGTGATTTTTCATGGTAGAATGAATGACTAATATTTATTTGTATCTTCAATCGAAATTAAAGTTTTCCGAAATGGAATCACTATAGTTATCTCTACACATTCCAACATATCTTCAATGTAGCCGTGAAAAGACATTATACCTGTGATGTGATAAACCAGAACTTTTCTCGAGAAATATTCCTAAGAATGTTACGTCCATAACCTGTGAATTATGATCAATTTGAATCATTAAGAGTTTTCATTGAAGACAGAAACTGCTAGAACTGCCACCGTCGTTAATCAGGAACTTCGATTCAAGACAGAATGATGAGTTTCGCAGATGTCATATCAGAGCCAGAATCAAGAAAAGTGGTAAGACACTTCACCATTTTCCATTTGACGTAATTTTCTTCTCCTTTTTTTAAATTTTATATCGCACTCTACCAAAGTAGTTTAGACTTGATTGTTATTTAAAACATGACACACTTGCCTTTCAAATTCATGCAGATAGGTCTATATCAACCTTCGAGAATGCAACTATTCAAACGCGCAGGATCTGTTTTTATCTAATCGTCAAAATGAAGGCGGAGGAAACCCTCCGTGCTGCACGAGATGTCAAGTTAGCTTCAGAGCGTGGTCGCAGGTTCCCTTCATTTTGACGGTTAGGCAAAATCTGGTCCCAATCCTTGAAATGAGGGGGCAAGAGAAAGATAAGCTCAATCGCATTATAACGTTGAGAAAGATTTTGAGACCATACAATTTTTATATTATTTGATCATTTATTCATTTATTTGGAAACGGTTGCAAATTTGAAATTTGTCTTGATTTTTCTCAGCAACTCCGCGGAAATTTTCCACAATTTTTTACGTAAAATGTACACCTATCAACGACTAAATAATATGTTGTCATGCGAAAATTTCAAATATTGTAATGCAACCAATCAGGGCCGAATTCACCTAGTTGCCGCTCATGGGCCGCCTGTATTTTGCCGCCCCCTTCTCATTCGTTTTGAAACATCAATAAAAACCATCAAGTGAACGTGCCGGAGGGGTAGGGGTGCATAAGACGCGTTTATTCGTGTTGGACACATTTTTTGCGAAAGCCCTATGTCAACACTACCAGCAAAATTTGACGGAACTTTGCGCGAAAGTTAAGTTCCGTAAACCTATCTCTGTGTGGACAAGGCCCTCCATTTATAAGAAATGAACGAAAAAATTATGAAAGAACAAACATAAATGTGGTTTAATAATTTTAACTTCCGCCGCCGCTCCGCTCTGACCGCACTGTGTTTGACGCAATGCGTGAAGTATTTTTACAGTCTTGTAGGCGCTATGCGTTTCACGTCGACCGCTGCTGACCGCACTGTTTTTGACGCAATGCGTGAAGTATTCGTACAGTCTTGTAGGCGCTTTGCGTTTCACGTCAAGCGGTGCTGAACGCACTGTGTTTGACGCAATGCGAAATTACTGTATTTTCAGGAAATGAGAGATTTTGTCGCCTTTTCTCGTTTGTATTTTTTTCTGAATCCGATTTGCTTTATATCTTCACTTAAAAAATCGCAAAATTTGCCACCATGGGCCGCGGCCCATGTGGCCACCCCCTTAATCCGGCCCTGCAACCAATACCCTCTGATGCTTATTTTTTAAAAGGGTGTGCCCTCGTCGCTTTACTGGCGTTTTTCGTGTTCTAGAGAGTTATTTTAATCCATATCGCCTTACACAGGGTGTCCCAAAAGTACTGCACACTGCCCTCACTGTCATAAGACGAAGAAAATTACGAGAGTTTTATTGTTAACTTTTTTCGATAAACGGGTTTTCTTCTCTTTAGGGTTCTCTCATTTTCTTTCTCACAAAAAAAGTGCCGGAAAACCACCACGGTCAACTTTTACACGTCAACTTTGAAGTGACATAACTTTGGCAATTTTTAAGTTAGATACCTGCTTTTGGTCTTCTATACAAGCTAAGGATTCAATTTAGAGGCCTGTCTAAACCGCATGTCGATAACTCTTACCGTTTTCTCAGAACAGGACAGTGCGCAGTACTTTTGGGACACCCTGTGTATGTGTGTCACCTGGAAAACCCCCCAAAACCCTCCATTTTGATTCTACTTTCACTCAATTGGACGTATTTCTGCCAAACGGAACTATGTGCATTAAGATATGAGCCCTGAGACCCATAAAGATGCATGCATTACAGGGCTCACGTTATAATGCACATAGTTCCGTTTGACAGAAATACGTCCAATTTTCAATCAGTGAACGCCACTGTCCTTGATCAGGCTTCCATACGAGCGATTCTAAAAGCGCGCAAGAATCGTGTAACGCTTCATAAAAATTATGATTTGCTCGCAGACAGTGAATGGGAGTTGGTCGGGAACGAGAGGAGGGGGGAGGGATGATTGGGTCCGGAAATGAGGCAATCCCACACAGGAAACAGCGGTAGACACCGATGGGTCCTGGATTATGCTTCCCAGGGATAAGAGCGGGCAGAATTCACCTTCCACAAGGTAAATTTTTGTCCTTGGCGTCGCGACGCGGTCCTCCGCGTCTTGTCTCGATCTTAGTAACCGCCACCCCCAACCCCTCGCGAATCTCGCCGTTTTTACTCGGCGACAATTCGATTATTGAGAATTAATTTTAAATCGGAGATAATTCCGTGACGCGCTCAATCAGATTTGCGGAATCGTTTTGTGGTGCAATTAGCGGCCCCGACCATCGGGCGTTCCTCGAGGTCTTGAGGGAGGGGAACCGTTTTGCGGTGATTTTTTATTCCCGACTTCATCTGCAGAGACACCTTGAGGGCTGATTGGGAGTTTAAAGCAGTGCTCTCATTCAATGTCAGTCAAAAGTTCTGAGATTTGGAACTTTTTTGTTCCAATTTCTACCACTACATGAACGATGTTCCGGGATTCCTTTTAGATATTTTCAAAAGTTCCAAGAAAGTTCCGGAAAATGCAAATGATCCGGAGCATTTCGGAAATTTCAGAAGTTCCGGGAAAATTCAGGAAAATCTCAAAAGTTGTGAAGACTGTGCTAAAACTCCCTGGTAAAAATTGGCAGTAGAATGTGTGTTCCAAAATACTATAGACCTAAAGCCGGCTGTAAGATTTCCAATAGCTTCTGTAGCCGGCTGTACAATTTCTTATAGCCTTTTATAGCCGATGGCAACTAAGCAACAGCCATACGATGAAGTTTATGCTAAACGTTACTAAATATGGATACTAGGACTTAGTTAGTTTTTGGACTACCGCTCTCTTTTTGTACCGTAGTATCTTGATTTATTTTGCGAGGAAAGCTCCGTACTTTTGAAGGATGCCTATCATTCTTACTATGTTGGAGCGCCTTCAATTTCTCATGATACTGTGCAATACCTCTGGTGTGAAATAGTTGCTTCAAACGCCGTTGCACGCTGCGGCGCGGCGGGCGGGCAGGGAGCTCGAAACGCGCATTGGCGCCTACAAACCTAACAGGGATACTTCACGCATTGCGCAATGCGTGAAGTATCCCTGTTAGGTTTGTAGGCGCCAGTGCGTCGCCGCTCCGCTTTGTGTTGGGCTCTAATATTTAATCTCGCGGAGTCAGCGTTTTTCAACTCATGATTTTGAAATGTTTGCACACTCTGTATGGACTATTCTCATTATAATTGATGAAAAAAAAATATGTTTTAAAGGAAAATATAACGTGTGTTTTGTAATTATTAAGGTAGTTCCGTATCAAACTTAATGATTTCCAAAGCACACGAATTTCTACACAATTTCTTGTAGCCTTTTATAGCCAATGGTGATAAAGGGTAAAGCCCGGCGATAGGAACTATAGCCCGACTATATAATTTTTTATAGCTTCGTATAGCTCGGCTATATAATTCGCTCCGCTTTCTGCAGTCAGCTATATGATTTTCAATAGCCTCCTTTAGTCGGCTATAAGAACTCCTACGGTATTTTGAAACGCAGCTCCTATCGTCAATTTTTACCAGGGTCAATTAGGGGGTCAGGGGGGTTTAATCTCTCAAAAGACTTCTAGGATCATCGTTCCAATCAGCCTCTCTCGTAAAAAAGCTCATATCAACGAAGGAACTAAATACGGAAACATGTGTTTCAATTTCAGTCTCTCAAAATTTTAAAATTCGAATTCGATTCTTCGTTTTGATCTATGGGATATTACTAGGTATCTCTGCACCCAGTTTTTTGCGAATGCGAATAATGTAACTGAGAGGACAAAGAGAAATCATGCGAAAATCTACGGAAAAGTTATTGCTCATACTTGAAAAATCTTAGTTTTGAAAATTGCAAACCCTCTGCTTTACCAAGGACTCGGCCCCTATGATGTTAACAATAATTTTATCGATTAAAATTTAATGTATTGTTTTATGAAGGTAGCTAAATTTTGTTTTTTAGTCATTCAAATTAATCTCTGTTTTCAGGGTTCAGGCTATCCGGGAAACGCTGTCTCAGACTGTTCCAGCTACGAGTCACCATGGAATCCACCCCACCATTATTTTGGAACGAAATTCTCCGGTATGATTTTCAGCTTGAATTTTTTGTAAATGTATCATTTCTGATGGACCCCGCCCCGGTGCCTCCCCCCCCTCCCATTTGTAAAATTGATTCATTTATTTATTTCATCTACGAATTTAATTTTTAAATTGATATCTAGTAATTTCAAAAATTAATTTCTCAAAAAAATTTTCCTTTAGTTCTTGAGTACTTTATTTGGGGGTGAATTAATTTTTATATTATGTAAAATCAGTTTTTAAAATATGTAATTGTAAATTAAGTAATTAATTTAATAAAAAGTGACTTCTCCAGCACTGAATTTTAAGTTATAAATAATTAATACTCTCAGAAATTAAGTATTGTAAAATATAAAAATATACACGTAAAAATACAATAATATTACAATAGCATTATTGATACTCTTAAACTGGTGATTCTCTTTGGCTATTGTGCGGCCCAACCCCCGACTATAACTCCAAAATTTGAAAACGACGAGCTCATCCAGAGATTAATTACCAAATGCTAATACCTGACTGATTGAATTTTAATCGGGCGTGGTTTTTTGTTACATGTTGGAAGAAGTACCTAACAGAAAAACCTTTTAATGAACAGTTCATGAAAAAATAAGAATCCTATCACTGAAATTCGAAAATTTAATTAGTGCTCAGTGAGTCAAGACCACTGAATAATGGTGGGGTCCATTTGAAATTCATTCATCTCTCAAGGAACGATCAGACAAACTCCATCTCGCACAATCGAAGGGCTTGGAGGACAAGGCGCATGTGTGCAGTTTTTGAAAAAATTGAGGTATTCATAAGCTCAACTAAAACTAGTTCGAAAGTATATTCTTTGAGAAAATTTACAACTATAATCCAACTTTAAAGCATCAAATAGCGAGTTTAAACTTCTTTTCCGCCATAAGGCCCCATGTAATTTTGAAACTTAAGACACGTATATCTCGAAATAGCAAATACTCCTCTAATATGCCTTTTCCTTCAAGTCCCACAATTGCACGCAATAAATTTTTTAAAGAAAATAAGAAAAAATGCATGATCCAAAATCAAAATTTGGAAAGTAACTCGGCAGTCGACATCACAACCAGATAACTTATATTCTCAGAGGAGAAAAAAGAAACCTTTTGTTCATCGCCTTTCAAGTTTATTGATGTGTCCCAATCGTATTGTACCTTGAATGGAACTTGGCAAAGGGTGGGGGGGGGGGTGCACGGTTCCATCCCTCCGACGAAAGACGTCGATTGTTGACGAAACTATACAGTGCTGGGCACATGCCGAGGATGCCCTATCGATTTTTACACGGCTAATCGTGTTAATGGCTCCAACAGAAAGGTGAACTTCTACAAATAAAAGGAGGAGAAATTAAACTTATCTTGCTTTTTTGCGCGAGATTCACCCTACTCCATCGCTTAATTGAACGTATTTCTGCCAAACAGAACTTAAGACATGAGCCCTGAGATCCATATGGCTATATGCATAATAGGGCTCACATAATGATGCACATAGTGCCGTTTGGCAGAAGTACGTCCATTTGGATGTGGGTCATTCTGAGATAACCAATTACACAACTGAAAAACAAATGAAGAGAGTTTAAGCCTTTGTGTATTTTTTCAAATAACCCATTTTGACGGCGCGGCGTAAGTCCGCAATCACGTATCTCGTTTGCGATGTCTGACAGCACACTAGTTACAACTAAGTAACGAAGTAAGTTACTAACACTAGTTACTGATTGCTCGTAAAATTTTCGATGAATGTGTTGGGAAGTATGACAATATAAATTGTCACAAGTGGGAAATAATTTTGTCCATTTTGTATTACAGGGAACAGCTGCGGAACTGAGGGAAGTGAACACCAAGTTCCCGAGTACCATAATCTCTCATCAGGTCAGTTAAAGCTACAAAATTATTTTGTTATACCTAGAGTGACAAAAATTTTATAATCTCTAAATTTTGACCTTATTCTCCTCAAAATAAAAAAATTCTCTCACCGCACCGCTTTCACTCTAGGCTGAAATGTTCAAATAAATTCATAAATTTGAATTAATTGAAAAAGACGCGCTGAGGCTGACGATCAATTGGACCACATACTGCGATTAGGAACTATTATTATGGACTACATTTTGCGATTAGGAACTATAAATTCCGGCCCGGTTCAAAAACAACGTATGTGCCATTAATTTCCCAATACACGTAAGTGTTTTTTCAGATGAGCCAGAATTTATAGGTCTAAATTACAAAATGCGGTCCATTTGTAGCTAAACTTTCGAAGCGGTTCTCTGCATAGGGAAGCTGATCGTACGTGCGTTGTTCCTAAAATGAACCAGAAATATTGGTTCCTTATTGCAAAATCCAGTCCAATTTTCCAGCAGAAAACGCAAAAATGCCACCACGACACTCCTCCGCCAATTCTGCCGTGCAAAGGAAGAACGCCGTATGAGCATTCGAGAGTTGCGAAATTTCCCTGAATAAAACGGGTATTTTTTAGGAACGTTATGCATATATTTCCTTCAAATTTTCAGATATTTTAGATTAAATTGCGAACAAAATTGTCTGAAAAAATGGGGAAAAATACTCACAACTCTCCGAATAAACTCTTATTTTTTCAAAGAAAACTTAGCAACGCCTGAAGGTTTATACGGCGTTCTTTCTTAGCGCGGCAGAATTGCATCGTAAATTTAATAAAATTGCAACATCGCACATCGTGATACGTGTTTTTCGCTGTCGGTACGGCCTCCGCTGGAGGGATGAGGGGGCGACGTGGGGGTTGATTTAGGCCTGGCGAACAAATCTTTCGGCCGAGAACAAAGTTTAAAAGAGGGTAATTCTTGGAGATAGATTTCATTACTGGATTTCAATAGCTGTTCGGGCAAATATTTACCCTGCTTACAATAAACAGAACGGTCGGCAAAAAGCTGCGGGGTGTAGGCTTCTCAACTCTTGAGCCGGCACCTCCCACCCGCCCCCTCCCCACGACTTACCAATGATCAGGGATGAAGGGCCCGACCAAAGTCTTATGCAGCTAGCTTATGTTAATGATACAGT